CGGCGATTTTCTAGATTGTTGGAAATTCGATTTTCTATAAACTGGAAAATCCCCACGGAATTCCCATATGTACTCTTTGAAATTCGCCGAGCATTTTCCATAAATAATTTCCAACCTTACAGTGTAAGTAGCGCCGCGGCGTCCGTTGACGAAAAAATGTTGGAAAATTTTCGGCCGAATGTGGGTGCGAATTGTCAGAGTGTGCATATTGTCAAGGCAGCTGTCATTTTTATTTTTGATGTAAGTTACATTCTACACGAGGAGGGAGAGCTAAACGATTATGGTAATTGCAGAAAAAGGTAAATGCAGAAGAAGAATAAAAAAAATTTGTCACTACTATTGTTTGTTTTGTATGAGTCGGATTTTCTGTTTCCGAAACACTTTATTAGTAATATCACGCAGATAAGAAGAACAAACTCATGGAAAGGCAGTTCAGTGCAATTTTTCTGCCTTCGGTGTCAGTTTAAATACTCGCTACGTTGGGATCGAAGCAGAATTCAAGAGAGAGAACCAACGAGGTCCCTTCCAATTCAAACGATTTATATGGCCGTACTGAGATAGTAAATAGTTTAAGTGGATTCGCACCACCTTCCGCTTTCTTCATAAGTTACATTGCCATTTTATCCAAAAGGAAATTCAGGGAAAATTAAAATTTCTAACAATTTATCTCTTGAAAAAAGCTTCTGTTGCTCTAAAAAACACCAAATAGGACTCCTTTCAAATAGAGTTTATCTCTGTAAATCAATGTGCAGCGGGTCTTCCGCTCTATTTTGTCAGACAGCTCATATTCAAAGCATTTGGAGCAAACCGAGTCTTCCGGATTAAAATAATTCATTACAAAATAAAAGGGTCAGACCAAGTCGACGTAAAAATGTGAAAATAATGAGGGATTTTAAAATACAATGCTAGACAAGAGTAATAATAATAATAATAATGAAGCAAAAAAAAGCAAGATTTAAATGAAGATGTTATTTAACAAATTGTTTATAGTATAAAGTAAGAAAGAAGTTATTCGTTTTTTGTTCAAGGATATATTGTTACATTAGCTAGAACAGCAGAACCACTGCCGCTCCATCCAATATAGAAACTGATATATAATAATGATCCGGGTGTGGTTTGAAATGTTTGACTAACATAATCTGGATTACCCGTTACACCGTCGTTATAACAATATGAACTACATACTCCGCAAGTATTACCGAGGTGAGATGCACCCTGCCAACCAGTATTATTGGCATATTCAAAATTACCGTTGACAAGTAGTTCGTGTCCGTTGGATAAAACTGAAATATTATCAATCCAGGTATATCCTGGATCATTACGTATGCCAAATGTCAGTGTTTCATAGGTTGACTGTGCAATATAGAGTGCACTAACTTGAGACAAAAGTGGTGATGCAGTCAATGGGGATGAAAGCAAATAGATTTGACGATTGGTTGTTGCAGATGTTTGGTTGAGAACTAAGAACAGAGCAGACAGAAGAAAAAGTATGATTTGACTATGAATCGGATTAAATCAACCTTTTCTTACACCTTTTACTGTTGAGTAATCGATATTGGAGCAATTGGGCGTTGCAGGAGGAACGAGAACATTGCCTGTAATAAAAGTGGAGAACACCAGATTTTGCAGGTAATGAGGTGAAAATCTAGTTACTGTATAGTGGGCAGTTTAGTTGAACAATACTCAACCATTTTCGGTTTAAACTCGCCACAAAAAGTAGACGATCTGCCGTGTCTAACCTAACCTATTATTAAAAATAAATCTTTCCTACTCACTTTGGTTCGTATAAATCGTAGTCGTAGGAACAACTGGTGTCGTGGTTCCTAAAAAAGATATATTGTAACACTGCTCTCTGAGAAGAGAAATAATCATTGCAAGACTACAACGGCCAGCAAGTTTCCTCGTGATTAAAAAGCCGTAGTACGGCTTTTTAATCTTTCGTAAAATGCCTGAGAAAGGAAATATGCAGGCTATCACATTTCTGTTAATGATATATAATTCAGAGATGGAAGAAGTTGTGAAGTAAATGTGTTCCAGGCACTACATTGAATATTTGGAATTGTATTATAATTAAAGTTTTGAGAATAGGTAAGGGAGGATACGTGATGATTGTCCGCTTTTGTCCGGTTTTTGTCTGACCCCTCTCCGAACATGTTTCATCTGCTGTTTTGGTTCTAAAACTGGATAAATTTAATTTCAAATCACAGCTATACAATACAATTTTGACTACAGAAAAAATCCTATTTCATCTCTAAAAAACAGGGACACAAAAACACGAACGCAAGCAAAACTATAGGCGTCATCAGTAAAACATTTTGTGAATCGGTAGGTCAACTGCAAACTATCTTCGTGTGGCCACGTTCTCTCTCACGATATTTCTCTTAAACAGATAACAAACTGATAATTAAATAGGCTGCGATCTAATCTACCAAACAACCTATATCATATTTGCCGAATTTCTTTATCTTTCAAAAGTACGAATCCGACAAAGGGCGTCATTTCGTTTTTGATTTTTTTAAAAAATCGCTTTGCGGGCGTCCGGCGTCGTTGTTGTCCGCTTTTACCTTGACCCCACACTTCCTTTCTTGTGGACGATGCTCCCTAATACTAGAGCTATTTGAATATATCGGAGACATCGTTGAGGACGCTACTGGGAGGAAGAAAAAAATAAAACAATAAAAACGTTAATCTCGTTCTATGTGAAGAATGGTTTTACAGAACCACATCGGATATACTGTGAAAGAGTTCAAAAGACTGTCGGTTCGATGTGACACACTTTCTGTTCTTTGAGTCAAATTCAAAACTCATTTCTACCTGTAGTTGTCGTCATTGTACTTCCATTCGTCGTACAATAACGTAAACAGTTTTAAAACAGTTTTCCGAGTGGTTTTCCAGAGATCCAGACTATGGAAAGCGCCTAACGAAACTATTTTGGAACTGGAAAACCATCCCGTTGGAAAGAACATCGTGGAAAACCTACAGAAAAAGGTTTTAGATGCGTTTGTGGTTTTTTATAATGATATCAAATATTCAGGCAACAGTTCTATGTACGGATCCCAAAATCAACGAAGTCAAAGGTACCCCCCCTCTTTTTTTACCATCTTGGAAACCGGGGAAGGCAATGTCGGATCGGGTTCAAATTTATACCAGAGATAGAACATCAAAAAATAAAATCGATGTATTTTTGCCCAGAATTTTCTGACGTGTTTTTCTATGGGTTTTCTGGAAAACTTCAGTTTTCGTCCAGTCACATTATGACCCCCCGAAAAAAATGGCCCGATCGAGCTGAAAATTTTACCACAGATACTTCAGATCCTATCTAAGGTTCGTTTTTTTATTTCTGAAAAATATGCTTTCTTTGTCGAGATATTCGGAAAATATTGAAAACCCCATATAAAAAACTACTTTTTCAGTTTGAAAAATTCTCACGCCGAAAGTTGAAATCGAAAACGTTTTAAAAAGAAATGAACCTGAGATAGAGTCTGAAGTATCTGTGGTAAAATTTTGAGCTCTATCGGACCATTTTTTCGAGGGGTCGTAATGTGTGCCAATTGAAGGGACTATTAAAAAACCCATAGTGAGAAAAACATATATTGTACACACGGCTCTGTTTTTCAGGGCATTTGCGGCAATGTTTATATCTCTAAGAAAACTCATCGGAAAATTCTGGAAAACATCTATTTTTGAAGAGCACACTTTCTTCTATCATGCTATATATAAGAAAAAAGTTTGAATATATAGAAAAGGAGAGAAAAATTTACGAACCTAAAAATTGAGATTTTCTAGGATTTGAAGGAAAAATTTAAAAGCTTCGTAATTTTTTCAAGGAAGGTCATGAAGAGCCGGAAGTGGTCTCATTTTATAGCCCAGACTTTCCTCTACATTTCACTATGTTCAGCTCAAAATGACAATTTTTTTGCAAAAAAAGAGGGGGGTACCCTTAATAGGATTCACAAGCATGGGTCCAAAATCACATGAATTATATACCATTCGATGCAGTTTTTCACGCTCATTCCGACTATATTAGTAGTTTTATGCAAAACTGCATTGGAACGCAAAAAAAGAAGAAAAACCAGGTTTTGGGAAAATCTATAACTTCAAGCAGGCAGATTTCTGCTATTGTCTGCTAACTGTGCAAATGCACCACATATAGAAGAATATTTTCTGAAAGTTTTGTTTAATTTGGAGCAGTGCTAAAGTGTGCGCACTCACTGTACTGAGGTTCTTGTTTCGGAAAACACTTAGCAAATTACTATTGGGAGCTCTTGTTAAGCGCTAGAGGCCAATATCACCCCCCCTTTTATCTTATATCAGTGGAAAAGGAATATCAAAAAAAGCTCGACATACTTTTGTTGCTCAACTCAAGGTGCATTTGATGGCGTACAAGGATTGACTTTATCTCTTTACACCAAAAAATCTATCAAACTAGATAGATTTGCAAACTGACGGCCTATCGGTCTGAGGCCCTGTTATTGAAATGCGCGTCGAAATTCTATTTCTCAACGGAAAATTTTGAAAGATCGGATTATACTCAGTTTTTCTTGCTGACTCCCTTGACCTTCCAAAGTACTCAGGCACGCAAATATTGAACTTTTGCGGAATATCGATTTTTCTGAAAAAGAGACCCTCTGAGTATTTTCAAATTTTCTCCATGAAAGTGTGCACTAAAAAGATTCAAACGGTGATATCGTGATTGCCGGTTTCTGATCTATTCCGACATGTAGGTTAATCAAAACATAAATTTCACTCGATTTTTGAATTAGCTGCACCTTATATGATCTGCTATTCAAACCTTGCAAAAGTGCGCTTTCAATTTTCACATAAAGTTCAAGTGATTGCCCACTGTGTAATCTGAATGATACTGCAAGTTAAATACAAACTGAGTTACCGGTGCTGATCGTAGGAGCCGACGAACTGAAACGAAAAGAATATGGTGTAGTAATAATGCTTTATACATGCTGCTCGCTCGCCAATATGTACTTCGATGCAATTCCGTTAATACATAAATTGTCCATGACAAACCACTGTGCTGAAGATGTGAAGGCGATATTATCAATATTAATCCAATTTAATTGGACAAGCAGACTTGTTTTTATGTACAATGTTACAGTTTGACTATAGAGAAGTGTGCCAGATTGGTAGCCTTGCATTATCACTGTATTGTTATCGTACCAGGCAGATGCAGCAATAAATGAATTAATTGTAAATAGAATCGATGAAGATATATTCATTGGACGTCCATACCAATTGAATGCTACATCTTGACCGCTAGTTAATGCTGTTACATAACCGGATGATGGATAAAGTGAGGCTTGTAAAATATAAACATTACTCCACTGTAAATTAGAGTAACCATTAGGAATCTGTATATTATAACTAGAGTTAGTCAGATTATCGATATCATCGAATGTTATCAAAGTTGAGCCATTTGCTAAACAGCCTACAAAAACAAAGAACATCATAAGTAGGTGAATATCTTCCATCTAAAAATATTATCAGTTTACAAATACAGTGCACTCGCTCCTTTTCTCTGTAAAAGCCAAGAGAAAGCAATTAGCCATTATCATCACTGTGTAGCCAACACTGTACGCTATACGACTATAAAAAAGCCCGTGTCCGAATGCCACCTGCAACTGGTAGACCGTACGGCTTGTCCACGTAACGCGACACCTTGCTCATTAAGTTTTTTTTACAGTATGTTTCCACCAGAAAATTGATATGCGAACATCGCTAGGCGCAATTTTTTGCGCTGATTACGAATCTGGCGGTGTTTCTGAAAATCAATTTAGTTTTTAGTTCAAAAATTTACATTTAAAATTCAATTCTTTACAATGTGGCTCATTTGGTTTTGACGAGTCGACAGACCATACCGCGGTAGTAAACACCATAAAGGGATTTCTCACCATATCTTCTTCCTCAAAAGTTCTACGCACTTCATGTAATTTCCCGATGACATCAAGGTCAACTTAAAAAAGGTTCAGTTGGTGAATGAAACGGCAGAGCAAGAAGAAAATTTTTTTCTTTGGAAGTGTTTCATGTCAACAATCCCCATAAAAAATTTCTGCTCTCTACTCTTTGCCTTTTCAAGTTATAGAATTTTCAAATTTTCTACACTTCGTTTTAGCTGAAAAACGAATCATCGGTAAAATTTGAATATTCTATAACTTGAAAAGGCAAAGAGTAGGGAGCAGAAATTTTTTATGGCGATTGTTGACATGAAACACTTCCAAAGAAAAAAATTTCAGCTTGTTCTGCCGTTTCATTCCCCAGTTCAAACTCTTGTCAGTCTAGTCTTACGAGGGAACTATCCCAAGTGTTAATCACAGATGCTAACGAGAGGTCCCTCAATCGATAGAGCTCGACGAGCTGATTCTAGTGGCATAAAGCATTTTTCCCAATGTTTCTTGAAGACCCAGTTTTCTAGAAAACCAGTTTTTCAGAAACTTTAAAAAATAACCAAAACATTTTTAAA